ACAATATAAAAGGCGAACTGTGGTGTTTTTATCAAAGTTAATTTCTCAAGTCATTTCATTTTTTCCACTTAAAGAAGGAATGTTTCTAAAGGTCATGGCTGCAGTCATATCGATTTTTTTAAAAATATCCCCACACTTTTTTAAACAATCATTCTAATAAAAAATAAATGAAGTTATATTTCTTTCTTTCTCTGTGTGTTACTCTGTCCGCACATTTTGAAAAGCTAGCTTGAAAATCAAATATAGATTGACGTGACCTTTTAAAAAAGAAAGAAGCGACGACAAATTAATAATGGGTCAGATCGCGCCGAAGGCGCACCAGACAGCTGTTTGAAGGGCCGGAGGCGCGGCAAACAGGCTGGTTTTTTTTTTCAAATAAATGGGAACCTCATGAAAAATAACAGATTTATACTCCTCCGTGCAAGTTTCCCATGGAAATTTCCGGAACCCAACTTCTTGAAATACTTTAGCAACGCGTAATGTGTAGAAGAATGACTTATTTCTTCACCTAAAAGTTTTTTGGTTAACAAAAACTTCGAAAAACGAAATACCGTAAAACCTCTAATAGAACGACACCCGGATCGTCCACTTTGAGCTTATATATCTCATTTTCTGTGAAAGATATCAAAAAGTGGCTAACTAGTAAAATGTTGCTGATATCCTGATAAACATTTTACTAGTTGACCACTTTTTGATATCTTTCAAAAGAAGTGAGATATATAGGCTCAAAGTGGACGATCCTGGTGTCGTTCTATTAGAGGTTTTACGGTATGCGCTGATTAGAGGTAGAGTCGTGTCGGCTCACTCACACCGTATACGACCCTTTTAACATTAAGCTTAATTATCTCGGTTTCTACGAGAGATATCAAAAATCAGTTAACTGATAAAATGCTGGTGATGTTATGATACATATTGAATCAGTTGGTTACATTTAAATATCTTCAACAAGAATTGAGATATATTGGCTCAAAGTGCACGTAAAGGATGGACGTCTATCAGAGTAAACACGGTATTTCCTACTGTAGACGTAGCCCTCGAAAAACAAATTTAAATATATATTGTACTATTATTTTCAGTATAATATGTTCTTCCTAGTTAGTACTCACGCTTCTCCGTTCCCTATGTCTCTCCCTTCTCCCATCCTTTGACACTCGGATTATCAGGGTTAAGACTCCTCTTCGAAGACATCTGGATAAACTTTATGACATCAGACTTCCACCTAACGTCATCCATTTCATCAGAGTTAACCGACTAGAGATCTTACATTTTAGATACTACTTCTATATATCGAAACCCCATGGGTTCTATTGTCTACAATGTTGTTCTATTGATGATCATATAATAATTATCTAGAAGCTTCTTCTGCTTTTCTTGTTATAAGTCAGAGTTCTTGAAGCTAACATAGCTAGAGTTCTGGTCCAACAAATCTCTCGGTAATCGTTTTCTTATCTCTTGGATTACTTTTGGATTACTGTCCGCGACTCGGACTCACTTACCTGATTGGCTGCTTCTGACCCGGATTACTTGACCTGGATAGGTGAGCTAGATAGGGTATCTAAGCTCCTCACCTTCTTCTGATCCCCATTTTACTAGGATTACTGTAATATTGGAAGGTCCCTGGTCCATCTTGCTAACTATAGAAATTCTGGTACATTCTTCCAAATTAATCCAGTGCTGACGTTGAATGGTACTTGACGCTCATCCTAGATTTTCGAAATTTACGTCAGGAGTCAGAAAAAAGCACGTTTATTGCAAAGCGGAGTATATGGATAAACTATTGACAACGTCATGTTAGAAGTTTCCAGAAAAAACAAAGAATATATATATTTTTTGATGAATGAAAATAGAAACCAATTGGAACAATATAAGACCTTAAAGGAGGGAAGACAGGAGTTACAGTATGCACTTTGAAGTGACGGTGTACAGTAGCTCAGCCGGTAGCAGCGCGGTACCTCCAACAATGGGTCCACAAGTTCAATTCCTAGTTGAGCGAAATCTAGAAAAAATAGTTTTTTTCCTGTCCGCCTAAAGTTACAGTAACCCATTCTGGACCTTTCCCAATAGAGTCTACATCATTGATTTAAACATTTGTTCTATGATTTTTTCTTCAATTCATCAAAAAACGAAATACAGAAATAGAAAAGCAATCAAACAAAAATGCCATTTGTATCTGTTAAGGAGCAATGCGAGAAAAAGATTAGCAATCGGCATAAATCGTCGAAAAATCCCATCATCTAGATTTGTGCCACGCAAGCTTTGTTAAATTCTCTAGAAACAAAAAACCACTTTGTTCGATTGCATTTTTTTTACAAAAATTACGTGGTTAACAGGAAAGTGTCGAAATTTTTGTAACATCCTTTTTTTCGTTTTCTATCTGTGCACTCTCATTTTCTATTTGTCAAAATTTTCTTGCGCTCAAATCTGCCTATGAGCCACTTGGAATCCGATTTTCTAGAAAATGAGGACGAAAAGATTTGTGATGTCGTCAGAATTAGAGTTTACAAAAACTGAAATTTGTGGAACTTTCTGGAAAATAGAATTTCAACATCTTTGGTTGTTTAGTTAAATAGAATTAGCCAGTATTAGGCTCTCATAGCCTGCGCATCAAAACGGAACTCTTGCGATAAAAGAGCCCTTACCTTTAAGCCAATTTATCTCAGCTCATTGAACTGATTGCAAAACGCTGTTAACTAATAAAATATTGCTGATATTATGATAATCATTTTGTTAGTTTACCATTTTTTGATATATCTCACAGGAACCGAAATAAACTGGCTCAAAGAGTTAAGAGGATCATTGTAATAGAGCGATTACTGAAAATTGGCTCAAAATGTGGAGGCCCTTCTATTAGAGGTTCTACTAAAAATTTTGCACATTTAAAATTTGTATCTATTCCCATACCACGCAAAAGCCTGTGCAAAGAAGCTAAACAAAAAATAGAAGTAGACCAAAATTTAAAGCTCAAGGAACCACCGTATAGCTCATCCCTAACTTTGAGCCAATTTATCTCGGTTTTCCTGGAAGATATCAAAAAGTGGGTTACTGACAAAACATTTTTGATATTATGATAATCATTTTGTCAGTTGACCCCTTTTTGATATTTTTCACAGGTATTAAGATATATGGGTTCGAAGTTGACTGTTAGAATTTTTACGGTAGGTTCCAGCCCCCTTTATATGCGGTCAAAGTTGGGGTTCGAACTATTCCTATCTGGAACTACATTCAGCTCCCCCAGACTTTTAGTTCAAATCCGTTGGACGATAGTAACATTTATTTCACCTTCTCCACTTTTTGAACTCATAACCTAAATCATACGAATCAGCTAACTATTAGAAACATGTACCCCTTCTCTTACTTCACCCCCCCCCCCCCCTCCCTAATCCATGTCAATCCACGGATTGCCCCCTAGAATTAAGGGCCTTGATCTTCTTTCCCACCCGGTTTTACGTAGATTCTAAAATTCCCCATTTCCGTCATAAAAACTCTCAAAAATAGAAATCAGACTTAAATCAAGTTTACGGAATTCTCCAGAAAACATTTTTTGTGATAGATTTCGAGAGAGCAGACAATCAGACAGCAATCGGCCTAAAATGGGGAGGAGTCGAAAGAAGAGAAGAAAGAAGAAGAATATGGAATATCTATAATTCCTGTATGGATAACATGAAGATGAATATATTTATTTGGATTTCATTTCAAATGTGAATGTGACTCTTGAGATCTCACGTCTTCCGAATTCTTCCAATTCTGAAATGAAGGACTCCCATTTCTAGTTCTACTCTTCTAGGGTTTCTAGGTCATTGATAAGGTGTGATCTCAGAGATAGAAGTCTTCACGTCACCCCTTTGGGACCCTCTAGACCATCTTGTGATGATTCTGGTGTCTAGACACTAATTGTTATGGCTCCACCTACATGAAAACGTGCATAGTGTCTTTGCTTTTAAACGCTAACAATCCAATTCAGTTATTATTCTTCTTGTTTTCTGACAGATACCCCTCCTAGTGATCCTCACAGTACTCCAACTTCCAGAAAAAATGCTCTCCAATTCCTCATCCTCCTCATCCAACTCTTCATCCAACGACTCGTCTTCATCGCTCTCCGCCGGGAGTCCACCAAAGGGAAGCTTGTCTCCAGATGGTGGTGCTCAGCGCTTCTTCAGCCAAGGAAAGCGGATTCCAAAAGGTAAGCCCCGGGTAAAAAAGGGGTGGGTTCTTTTAAGCAGATGGAGACAGAGCAAGGCTGTAGAGAGCAGAACCGGTCGCAGCCCGGGTCGTGGGGGGGGGGGGGTACCGTGGAGCAAGTTGTCAATTCATTCAGGATTCAAGGACAGTAGGATTCTAGGATTTCAGGATTCTAGGATTCTAGGATTCTAGAATTCTAGGTTTCTAAGATACTAGGGTTCTGGGATCCATGGATTCTAGGATTCTATAATTCTATGGTTCTAGGATTCTAGGATTCTAGGGTTCTAGGATACTAGGATACTAGGGTACTAGGATACTAGGATTCTAGGATTCTTTAGGATTCTAAGATTTCGTTCTTGAGATACTTCTAGGGCCGCCAGGCCACCGTATCCCACAAGTACCGTAACAAAAGAGTCGCGGTCGTGTTTTCAATTGCCTTGCTAGCAGACATCAGCTTGAAATATTTCGGTTCATAGGTTTCGTAACATCTCAATTGTGAGCTACATATTGTTATTGAAATTTAGCATCGGCAAAACACATTAAAAAAATTATATGATGTAGAAAAAGCGGATTGTTTTTGGCTAAGCTGATTTTCATTGAGATTTTCAACTCCTCCTCCTTTTTTTCGACACGCCTTCTCATCAAGAATTGTCTAGAAAATGGCTTTGAAATATTTTCTGGAACTTGTCCCTAGAATTCATTGTTATCAGGTCCCATACCTCTTACCGTACTTGCTCTAATGGAAGCTCACCATATACGTGCACTTCGAGCTAAATGATCTCGGTTCCTATTAGAGATATCAAAAATCTGTCAACTAGTAAAATATTGCTGATATTATGATAAATAAATTAACAGTTTAACATTTTTTGATATCTCCTGTAGAAAGCGAGATAATTGGACCCAAAATGAACGGTGGAGCGGATACGGTTGGCCCTTGATTTCTAAAACCTGTCTGATTGCCGTCTTGCTAAAAAATCTATTTTTCTGACGTCATGCGGAAGTTCAGTTGTTTGATCAGAAACGCTTAGTTTGAAAACATTCCATACCCCACATAAAAAATGTCCCGAGTGGTGTAGCAGTTTGAAGTTCCACGTCATCCATACAAGATCTGCTTGATCACCAAAAGTTTTATTAATCCATCAATCATACTGTACCATTCCAGATGTAAAACGCCACTGTGGAATGTGCAAACAGCATGGTGTGATTGTAGAGACCCGTGGACATACCTGTGAGTTCAAAAACTGTGGTTGTGAGCACTGCGATCTGGTCCGTAAGCGTCGGGAGATCATGTCAACTCAAATTCGTCTCCGTCGAGAGCAGGATAAAAAGTTTCAGGTTAGTCTGGGGTTGCTTAGGACCAAGTACATCCTAATTTGTTTTAGCGTACCACTGATATCACCGAAGCCAATGTGTTCCCGGGCTTCACTGTCGGTGAGCCCATTGACGAGAAAGCCGCCCTGGAAACCATGAACATGTGCTACTTCTGTCAGAAATGCAAAAATCACAATGTCCTTATCTGGAAGAAAAATCATAAGAAGGACTGCAAGTATAAGGATTGCGAGTGTGAACAGTGCAACCTTATTGACTCCCGTCGTGCTCTGGACCGTCATATTAAGAAACGAAAGATAAATTTGAAAGAGAACGTCGTGGAGGGGACGGCACCAAAGAGTCCAAAGAAAGATCAGGATTCTTCGAATTCTGCATCGTCGTCATCTCTTTCATCGTCCACTTGCAATTCAGATGAATCTGGATCATCGGACTCTTCATTATCGGGGTTGTTGACAGAGAAGTTGAAGATGACACCCCAGGTTCAAGTGAAGTTTGACTTCAGCACTGGAGGATTCGTTGCCCCATCGGCCACAGTGACCACTAGTCCATCAGTGTCACCATATGAGGTGGGTAACCTTGGACAAGCATACCGTACCTTGATCTGAAAACGCCTATATTTCAGACTCCATCTCCACTACCACTAATCTCCCTTCCACACTCTCCAGCTCCAATGGCTTCACTCCCACAAGTTTCTCTTCCATCTACACTTCCTCTTCCATTCCTCACCGTACCATCTTTATTAACCACCGCTGCTGCGACCAACCCATTCTTCTCATCCTCTCTGATGTATACCACCGCTTCCAACTTGTTCACCAACCCATTCTTAATGCCCATCACACCCATTGATATGCAGATGTTGTTCCAGAATATTCAGAATATTCGCGACATGACTGCAGCCATGACCATGACTGATACTGACTGATTGCTTTTTGGATTTTCTAGTTTTAGAATTGTTTGATCTGTGATTTTTTTCGTTCCGGCATTTTTCTCCCATAGACATGTCCCAGTACCTACCATATATCCCTTTTTAGATAACCCAGATCGAACAGTACCTCAGCGGGTTGACAGTTCAAACATGATTGATAACTTTTGATACATACTGCATAATAATTTGTAATTCTTGTATTTTTTAAAACATTTCTTCTCTCTGTGAAAAAATAAAACAACTTGAAAAGTGAAATTCCCCCTTTATTATCGCTGTCTAAAAATAACAAGAAGCCATCAGATCTGAGCCCAATGCTACTTTCCTTTGGAAATATGGTCCCCCAAACTGCTCTTCTCAATCATCCTCGACTATCTGCGTTTTTGACCCATGGAGGATTGGGAAGTACAACTGAACTGGCATTTCTTGGAAAACCCGCTCTTATGGTCCCGATTTTTGCAGACCAAGAGCGCAACGCCAATATGCTAGCTGGCACGGAGGAGTCAGAGTATTTCAAAAGAACGATCTCAAAAATGTCAAAGCTGCAGTCTATGACATTTTGTTCAACAAGAAGTACCTGGAGCATTCACAAAAGCTAGCAGAAATCCTGAATAATCAGCCGACACATCCAAAGGATCAAGTTGTAAAATATGTGGAGTTTGCCAGGAAATTTGGGCCGTTCCCAAAAATGAATTCTGGAAGGAATATTGGTTTTATTCAGAAGAACTTGATAGATGGTTTTTTTTGTTTTATATGCACCTTATTTTGGCTACTTTGTGTTTTTGTCGTTGGTTTTTTGGCTTGTTAAAGCTGAAGTGGTCTATAGGAAAGTCAAAGAACTCTAGATCATTTACCGTAAAACCTCTAATAGAACGACACCCGGATCGTCCACTTTGAGCCTATATATCTCACTTCTTTTGAAAGATATCAAAAAGTGGCTAACTAGTAAAATGTTTATCA